AATGTCCACGGGGGCTGGAGGGTGACCTGGGATAGGTTTATGGTGAGGCTGGACGAAATGCAAACTGCCCCAGTGCCAGCTCTAACCTGTGAAGGTGTTGCTACCTTCCTCCGCCCTCATGTCCCCACCCCCAAAATAGGGGGCCCTAAGTCCCTACGGCTTTCTCTGTAGTTTGAGGCCTGGCCCCCACGTTCTCTGGTCTCCTGTGACCTCCCTGTCCCCTCCCTGGCTGTACCCAGTGCAGGGATTGGCCGGACTGGCTGCTTCATCGCCACCCGAATTGGCTGTCAACAGCTGAAGGCCCGAGGGGAAGTGGACATTCTGGGTATCGTGTGCCAACTGCGGCTGGACAGGTGGGTCTATGAACGTGGACAGGTGGGTCTATGAACGTGGACAGGACTAACGACGTGAAGGAGTGCCATCAGTGCTTCCTGGGCACCAGGGCACTTAGAGGCTCATCACCATCAAGCACTTCCTTCCAGAAAGGAAAGGGCCCACTGCTTAAAGAGCGGTTTCCTTGTGCAGCTAACACCCAGGAAAGAATCTCTATCTAAAATTTTAGCTTGGCGGCCTAGAATTAAATATGCCACTCTGCAGATACCTGAGCCTTGTATCTTTTTTGGTTGTTGGTTGTGGTTTTCCAAATCCCCTGCTCAGGGAAAGGTGGAAGGATAGGGTGTGGTTGGTCCTAGACACCAGGCGAGCACAGATACTGCACAGAAGCCCTCTGCATCTGGAGACCGGGAACCACGGTGCCAATTCTGAGTTGCATCTCACTGAGCCATCGCTGTATTTCTCTGGGCCCCCGTTTCTTTATCTAGAGAGAAACGACGCTCCTTCCCCGGGAGCCGCGTTAAGGAATGAGTTAATGCATAGGGAACATGTTTTTCAAAGATGAGAACCTACTGTACAAATATACAGAATTATTATTTTTACTTTTAAGACAGGGAGGAAGAAACCTTGAGGCTCAGGAATATTCCTGGCCTGGCCTGAGGAATCAGGGGCCTGGCGCTGCCCCAGGAGCCGATGGGTCAGAGAGGAAAAAGTTCTCCTCCTGGGCACAGCTAGCAATGGGGCCCAGCCCTGAGTAAGGGGCAGGGCGGGGGGTGGGGGGAGGCTTCGCTCGTGGGGAAGGTCTGAGGGGCAGAAAAAGGAGGAGAAAGCCCAAAGGATGAACATATGTGAAGGGGTCGACAGGTTCTTTGGGAGACTCTCCCTGCAGAACTATGGGATGCTTGACTCGCCCCTCCTGTGCTCATGGTCTCTGCATATTCTCCTTGCAGGGGTGGGATGATCCAGACCACAGAGCAATACCAGTTCCTGCACCACACCCTGGCCCTGTATGCAGCCCAGCTACCGGAGGAGCCCTGCCCCTGACCGCTGGTACCTCCACCAGCCCACGTGCCAGATCCCCCCACGCCTGGGCAGGTGGTTCTGGGGAAAGTGGGCCTTGTGATCTGAGGGATCCCCTGGGCGGGCATGGGGAAGGGGTGCTTCCTCAGCGGGCACATGCGGTCACAGGAAGTTGCATCGGCAAGAACAGGGACCAGACTCCAGGTCTTTACCACCGGCCACTCTTCTGCTTCCTCTAGTAGCCCCAAGTGGACACTTGGGGGAACCTCCCGTGTCTCTCTGAACTTCGAGCTAGGAACTGGCATTTATGAGACAGCCGAGAAAGGACCAGTGTCCCAGTCTTGTCTAAAGTGTTCTGTGAGCTTCATCTCTCCGTCTACGACATGGGCATTAAGTGCTTTGCTGCCATAGGGAAAAGTAATCAGAGAAGCTCCCAGAAGCCGCTCCAGCTGTATCCCCTTGCTGGGCCTGGCAAGAGAGTGATCCCAAGATCATCTTCCACCTGGGCCCTGCCCAAGAACTGGCCAGATGCGGGAGCTGGGAAAAGTCTGGTCCTGACCGTGGCCAAGTTCTCAACCTCCCGGCAGTGACTTTCCGCTTCCTCACCCCACATCTGTGAGGGCTGGATACCCCCCAAAGACAACAAGGACCCAGACTACCCCTGTGCCCACACCTGTGTCCTGGGATCAGGCTACAGAGGTGACCAGGCCAGTCATTTGAGACTTTTGGAAGAGGGAACGTGTGGCAACCCCTCAGAGGCCCAGAGGGCTGCCCCTGCCTCCATAATTGCCAGCCACTCACCCCAGCTACTCCCGAGAGAGGCCCAGCATCTTCCGTCTTCCTTTCATGACCTCAGAAGGTACCCTGGGTAACAGGAGGTATAAAAGAACGAACAGTGAGGAAGAAACAAGGAGCAAGAAACAAGAAACTCCTGCGCCCTGCCCCCATCCACCCCTGCATTTGCAGAGTACAGCTGGAGAGCCTGGCTGTTTCCAAGAACTATCTGGGTGAAGCACCGCATGCAGACCAGGGGCCTCAGCCTGGGACCGCAGAGTTGGGATCCTCATAGCCTCTCCCAGAGAACTAACTCCTTTCATCATCTCGGCACCAATACAATTTCCAGGGCACCCAAGATCTATCTCAGGGCTCACCTACACTCCCCAGGAAGGCATCCAGATCCTTCGTCCTTGAATCCAAAATGAGCTGCCTGTGGGAATGAAGAAAGGCACCATCTCTCCGGGCACTCAGCCCCTGGGGTCTGCCTTGACTGATGCCAGCTCTCTGTGGAACCCCCCAAGGAGCTGGATCCTGGCGAGCAGCTGGGCCTCCTTATTCACGACATCGCTTCTGAAGCACGTGCAACGTTGAAACTGAGGTTAATTTTCTTAACACTTCCGCTTGGTCTCACAATGGAATTCTTCCTTCCTTACAGCCCCAGGAATGGCTCACCTGCTCCTAACCCCTTTGGGAGGCACTCGCAGCCTGTGCCTGTGAAGGAGGGCACAGAGCTCTCAAGTGCCTGATCCTGCCCTGCGCTCAGACCCAACCGGGAGGGAAGCAGGTGCGTGGCCATAGACCCACAGGCTCCCCACCCTATAACTGTGGCCCCAACCCCATTCTAGAACTTAGAGAGTACAAGCTCTGGAAAAGGAACCAAGTGGGAGAATAAAAACCTTTTGGATGACTGATTCATTCCTTCTTTCTATCTTTTTCTCAGGCCTCTTTATAGCAAGAGAGTAAGACCCCAGAGACCCAGGAATAGGCTGCCGATCCTTATCCAGGATATGCACTTTTCTAGCAACTTCTTGAGACACATCAAACAAAGTGACACAGTAGTCGGTTTAGGAAATGGGGCAGAGGTGCACCTTAGGAGCTGGACGGGAACCTATAAAGGGCAGAAGCTAGAAAGATGATACTCTGTGATCCCTCTGCTTCAAGACCAATGATCAAATAAATGATCATTTGGTCATCTTGGGTAGGTTTGACATATGGTTCGACAGTTTATGCACCTTTAGCCAGAACAAGAGACTACACCTGAGTGGGTTTGAAAACCTGATTCTAAAGAGCACTCCTCCTAGGTGGGAGATTTGCCCTGATGCCTGGAACTACTGGGGAACAGCCAGCCCCTGGGTTCAGCAGCCCTGTGGCTAGGGAGGCATCTCTGCTTGCCTTGTATCTCCCACCATCAGTTCTCCTCCTGAAGAAAACTTTGACTTTTGCCAAAACAGGCCAACTTTTTCATCCGCTGCAGATCTCCCTCACTGGCACCCCCACCCCCCACCCCGGCAGGATTTTATCTACGAATTATGGTGATACTAGTGAAAATCAACCTCAGCCTCAAACAGCTGTTTCACTTTGGGCCAGAGGCTTCCTAAACTCGCAGTTCAGGTAAACTGTGGTTAACAAAACAAGATGGAGTATTAAAACACCCAAAGACGGTTGTGACTCTCCGCTCGTTAGGTTTTGAGAGGATAAGACTCTGTCCCCAGAGATGTTCAGAGGCCAAGGATTCAGGGAACAAAAAGCCTCCATTTCTCTCCCTTTCACAGAGAGCTCATCTCCGC